TTCACTTGGTAACGGGGAAGAGTGACTCTCACTTGGATCCTTTATGAATTGTTAGGTAACTGGAGTCATTTAACAAATGCACATTAATAGGAAAAATGAACAGGTCATGGAATTTGGTCACTCCGCAATGCCAACACACAAAACATCATTAAAGTTTATGTATACACAGCTATATAAAGTCACACAGAATTCTGTTCATCATCTCCTGCCATGGAGAAAACAAAACATGCAGAGAGAAAACTTTATCTTGAAGACTCATGCTATAAATTAATTTGTTCTTCAAATGGAAAGAGGGGAAGCTTAGGTTTAGTAGAATGAATCAACTTACTCAATATGACATACTAGTTCACAGGCAGCACTGGGAACAGAGAAAGCCACCTCAGGATTAGATGGGTATGGAAATTCAAATGTAGCAATTCCCCATTTTAGGACTGGGACCCTAAATAGTAGCAAGATCCTGGAAATAGTAATGGAGTGACAATCCCAAGTCCGGATGCATGAACAGAAACGTTTGGGAACTGCTGCTTTAATAGGACTTAAAAAAAGGCTCAGCACATGAAGAAAGCTCAGAGAAAGCTCCAGGTCTGGCAATGAGATGTACAGCTCTATTCTGTTCCTATACATAGGCATTTTTCTTCCTGCAGTTTACAAGTCCTCTCTTACATCTTCGACTCCCATAGCACTGCTCTTGTAAACGTTTCAGACCTACTCGCTCACATACTTTCTCCAGTTCTCTCATTCTCCCTTTCTCCCATTCTGTCTGGAGGGCAGGAGAAAAATAAGCCTAATCCATTTCAAAGACATGTATTTAAAACACCAACTATGCTTAAGTCTTTTAGCCCAAGAATCTGTCACGGGTTTTGTCTCCTAATTTCTAAAAGGCACATAATACTCGGTGTCAGTAACAGCAAGTTGAAAACTCTATCACTGTAGTTTTCAAAGGAACGGTTGTAAAAATCCGCTAGTTGAACAAAAAAGTTTTAGTACAGCCTCTGCAAGAGACCTGAAATTGGGTAGTCTGTGTAAAAAATTATCTCCTTATATCATCAACACTTTTAGGGCTTGGCCTTTTGTAACCTTAGTGGTGCCATTTATGTTTCCACTGTGAAGAACTGGCTGTGTTACAGTAGAACAGCTCTAAAAGCAGGAAACAGAATAGTAGGGGAAGAGTTTAAAGTTGTGACTATTGAAGTTATAAAGGGTATACAGTGCTCCAGCTGACACAGACTCAGGTTGCCTTCTGTGAAGGCAGCTACTGAAAACTGTGAAGGCATGGTTCACATACATGAAAAGGCCTGTTCTGATGGCCTGCAAGAGATCCATCATAAGACAAGAAAAAAGCCAAACACAGCATTGTGCCCTTACCGAGGCTTCCTTGGTGTTGGTCTCCTCAGATGCTGATTTTGCCACCTTCTGGATGATGGGAGCGATGTTTGTGGGCCCATACAGCTGCAGCTTGGGAAGGCAGCTCTGATAAGCCTCCACAACACCCTGTATTCCTGGCATGAAAAGCCACACAAAAGGCAAATAAATGTGGAGCACATCACCGATATCATGGTTGTTTATAACGTAAATAAAAGGCACGTTGTTAATGAATAAATTAAAAGTATCACATGATTATCAAGGACTAACAACTTCAGATAATTTCCAAGAAGCTCTCTCTAGCTGCCTTGAATCTAGTTTGTAATATATAATTCATTATACCATGCTCGTCCTTCCCAGCAGTTTTTAATGTCTATTTATCACGTATCAGCCTGCAACGCAATCGCTTCCATCCTCCTCAGTTCAAGGTGTAAGTGACCACTCCCTGATCACCAGCTAAGATTCATGCTAGAAGGGTAGACACAAATTAAAAACACTTCAATGCTTTTCTCTCTTCCTATTCAGACAAATATTTCTTTCTGTTTATCATGGTAGTTACCAACAAATTTGACCTTCGTGCTTAGAATCTAGTACTGTCAAAGACTTCAAACATCTTTACAAATACCTGACTCCCCCGTGCTACGAGAATAATTTTTCAGGGTGAATTTGCATAATTGCTCACAGGTTGAGTTCGACTATGACCAAAAGCTGTGAAATCCTGGAAGAAACAGCAGGATGCTTTGCAGTCTACAGAAAAATGAGCTTTAGTCAAGAAGTTTTGATGGAGAACTAGCTATTTTGGCTTTTTCATTTCAGGACATATAGCCAGACCAGGGAGAACAGACTTCTGCTGACACACTTGACAGATCACAGGATGGAAATTGGCATTTTCAATCACTGAGAAGAAGGATTTCTTGAAGTGATGCACGTTAGCCTCTGCATTCAGAACTCCCAGCTTACCAGACCTAAAAGATTAGAGGTCTAAAGTTGGAAAGAAAGTGATAGACTAAAGAGCTTTGTAAAGGATGCTGAAGAACGAAATGACTTCAATAAGGTCCTAAGCCAGTTTCAGTTTGCTCTGAGACTAGCTCACTCGTGGGATTTTACTCAACCATGTTTATAGGATATATGGGTGCCGATCTGTTACTACCAAATCACAGGGAGTTGTAATTGCTTTACAACAATACACCTGAACCTCCTACAAAAAAATGGTGGAGAATGCAGTCTCTCTCTCTTTATAGATAGTTACAAACATATTTTTCCATTGCATTGCTCACAGGCAAAAGAACATGCACCAATTATATCTATAATTGGCTAAAATGTAGAGTAATGTTACAAAATTTCCCTTGGTAATTCCAGTCAGTAAATTACATATTGCAAAACTGACCTTTTGTTAACTCCCAGTTTTAAACCTGCTAAGGATTTCATTACATGTACTTACTGATCTTGCATGAAGGCCCCATAAATCTTCCCTAAGATGATGACAAGATACACTGTGAGTTTTTTTCTTATGCATTAAAATAGTATGAGATAAACCTTACTCCTTGCATTCCACACAGGTTTAGCACGGCTCATGTCAGAAAGTTGCTTTCATCTTAGAAAAAAACATGTTCTAGAAACATAAATTTCTTGTTCACTATCTCAGATTAATATATTTTAGAAATACCTACTGTCATTATGTATCCAAATCAAACAGGATATGCTAATGTTTTACTTTGTTGCTTACTTTTCTTGGACTCTTTTATTTTAGGGAGAGCCAATGTGCATTTTTCTGCACAATTCAACTCTTTATATTTTTATTTATAATCCATGTTCAATAGCTCTGATGAAATACAGTGTATGCATATATACATGTGTTTAAGATGCATGTAAAATGCATACATTTGTAGAAGCATTCGTTCAGATTAGAGGTTGTCACACTTTCTTCCTCAGACAATAAAGACTGAGTATGATGTATAAGATTATAAATATACTATACTATAAATACATGAAATACAAGGCTATAAATACTAAAATTTTCCACAATGGAAATGGTAATAGAGGACGAAAGGTGAGAATATCACTATGTTCTGGTAAACTTCATATCTTCACACAGTTCTTATGGAATGCAGAGTGATGCTTCACACTACCTTGTGCCAGCAAAAGCTCACTGCTTCCACAAAAAAAGGGATTTCATTCCTCAAAAGCAAATCAGACACATATTTTTTATATTGGATCCAACCTCTGTTTCTTGGTTTAAAGCAAGATACTCTTCAGCAATTCTTCAGCAATTTTCCTGGCAAGCATACTTGTTTTCTGGCAAGTATGCTAAATATTACAAGGAAGAATAGTGTGGTCACTTAAGCACTTAATCTCCCTCTCACTCTTGCATCCTGTCTTCACATGATATGCTGGTGTTACTGCTCTCTGTGTCACCTAATACAGTGAGAACACCTAGAAAACATCACAGAACAAATTTGCGGTAGGAACTAATCAAGTATCCATGACAGGCAGGTGATGGGCAAGCTGCAGCAGAGGATTAAACAACATGCTTTCTGATCTGTCTCTTCTTCTTGCTTTCATCCAGATGGATATTATTTTAAATGGTATCATTTAGGACAAAGAAGTGTTTTTTATACCTCATAGATGCATGTGCAAACACTGCAAAAGTTCTTCCCTGGCCGCCTTTTGTGCTGCAACCATCTTTTTATGTCTTAGCCCTGAAACTCCTTTTACGTGATGGGTTAACTTATTAGATAACTGAGTCTTACGCAAAGAACCAAATCAAGTTTAAATACATAAAGAATATTAAGTGACATAAACCAAGGCAAAGCTCATAGAGCAGCTCCTTCCTTTTTTTTTTAATCTTCTCTCATTTCCATTGTTACTTTTTTTTTTTTTTCATACATAGTGCAGGAGAGTAAGTTCTTCACTTGTAGAGGTTTTGTCTGTCCGACTCCTGTCCTGCTGCTGGCACTATATACACGTGACAGCCTTTTCAAGTACCAGTCAATCAATACAAATCATCATATAATGATGTCAGTGTGATAAAAGAATTAGCCTTGGACTCAAAAGAGGCAGCAAAGGGAGGATAAAAAAAAAAGGTGTTCTTTGCATGGACTGCTAGGGCTTTTTTCTGAGGTATGCAGAAGGTCACAAATGTCCTGCATTTAGACTGGGAAAGTTACATTTGAACACGGCATGCATAAACACGTTATCACCTAATGCTGACCATTGTTAACTGAGATGTTTTAAACAGATCAGCCCCTGTGTAGATGCCAATGTGTCTGTGTTCAGAAGCAGACAAGCTGACACATTTTATAATATGATGGTCCAGACAAAATTCTGAGGTCCGTTTTGCATCTCCACCTCATCCTCACAGTCTAAGTGTGACTAAAATCTCAACTTTAAGCTGGCACACAAACTTACAGGCACATCTAGATCCATACATGTAATTTCTGCTTCTTTTAACTCCTCAAAAGCAATGTGAAAAGCTGCATGAACACATCAAGCAGCTGTAGGACTTATGCCCAATTACATTTCAAGCACATGACCTACAGAGGCTGGGGCAGACAGTCCAACAATCCAAGCGCAACAACAAAGCAGGAAAGCCCACTGAACCGAAATCAGAGGTCTTGTATTTAAGATGCGTGAACTCTGAATTCTTTTAATGTCTCTTTCCTTTGAATTGCTTGTCCTCTCTTCTTTTCCTCACTTCATTTCTTGGCATCTTAACTCTCATCTTGAACATTTTCCACTGACTATGCCTGAATGCAAGCCACTAATAAGCCTGAGAAGGGCTGAATGGAGCAGCTAGAGAACTGAACAGGAAAAGCATTCTGAAACACCGATTTCAGTGTTTGGAAGGTAGTAGAAGGATAAGGAAGAATAATAACCTGTGGATTTTAGACAGCAATGATCATCTGACCAAGACTCTCAAATAAGTGTTAGTCTGGGATTACTTGTTGACTATTTAAAGATTATTGTCCTGTTATTTTCACCTTTTCCAAAATGTGTGAATTGTGGCAGGAGATTCTACGAAGACAGCATCAGTCACTGCAGACCTCACAAATACAAGACATCAGCAAGATCTGCTACTTGAATCTGACCTCCGACTACTGAGGATTAGTGACTGTTGCTAGAACACACCAATATTCTTACACTGTGTTAAAACAGCCTTCTGCTGCATTTGCTGTCATGAAAGTATGCTTCCTTCTACCACAGTAGTCCAGAGCTGCTGCCCTGACCCTTTGGTCTTGGACATCGCTGGGTGACTTGCAGCAGGCTACTGTTGCTATATGTCTGGCCAAAGAACTGGCTCTAAACCAAGGGAATCTTTGATCACAGAAGTGCACATCCTGCTTTTGCACATCCTGCCCTTCTTAGCTGCACAAGCTATGATGTTGCTGTAGCTGATGATCTGGAACAAATCTAAAAGACACGGCTTTAGTTTACAGAAATGCTAGTGATTTGAGGAAGTGCAAGTACTGAATGTCTAACATGGTGTACTTTCAAAAGGACATATTTTTCAGGAAATTAATGTGTGGCACTTTCTAAGGTTTCTAAAGCTAAGCGCAATGGCTTGGAGTCTGTCAGGTTTTGAAAATCCTGGCTGCTTTCTTTAAAATAATTTTGAATAATACTTAGGGGATACAATAAAAAATGCAAGCACATTTTGCACATAGCGAAAATATGGCAGTCTGTCCTAATGTGAGTGTTACCTGCACATTCTGGGTTGTCTTCATTGAAATTGATTGCAAAATCATGAGAGACCTGCAGATAAATGGAAAGAAGAGAAGACAACTGTAGTCATAAAAGTGATTTCAAGAGGACTTGCGGTTAAACACCCTTTACATTCTTTCTGTATTAAACCAGGGATCTTTCAAGCTTTCAGCCATTAAGTGTGAAGTACAGTCCCAGCTGGAACTCTCTGCAGAAACAAAGTAACAAAAGTGGAATCAAACTTGTCAATAACAACAACAAAATGAAGAAAAAATAGCACAAACACCCAAGTACACGAGAAATCACATAAATATGGTGTCAGGATTGGGCTACCAATGCCAGGCACAGAAGGGGGATCTATTGCTGAGGAGATTTAAAGGCCATTTCTCCCTAGCCCAACATCTCAGATGGCAGGAGAGAGAAAGCAGGTTGTGATATGGCACTGAAAGCACAAACTCAGCCCCCTTCTGAATCCTGCATTCCCATGGGTGAACGGTTCCTCATTTGAAGGCCATGGGAGTACTAGTAAAATAATCTCCAATGAGATCAAGGCAGTCATCCAGACTCACTGTGAAATAATAATATATGAAATGTAAGGAGTCTAAGCTGGTTAAGAAATTAGATCAGGCTTGAGGGGAAATGAGTAAGAAGAAACCTGAAGACTCTTGTTTTTCCTCAGATTTAGTGACTATCCCATTCTCTCTCACTCTCTCTAAATCCATCTGTAATAAAATACCACAGAGGTGTTTTCTATGAGAAATGACTGTGGTTACAAAAACATTGCTGATTTTCAAAAAAACAATGTATTGTATCTTTAATGGCTTGGGAAAATAATACAAGACTTCCATATGCACAAATAATGCAAGTCAACATAAGTTGCAGGTTCTAGACTTCCTCTGTCCGTCTGTCACTTACAGATGTGCATCCACAGCACAAATCTGTGGGGACCAAAACTTTCTTCAGATACTCTTTTCTGGTTTTAAGGTTTGTTCTTGCCTGCATTTAATCCAAATTCCTTTTTACTCCTTTCTTTGATCACTGAGAAGGCTTGATTCCTTTTAATATCTTCATCTCTGAAGCTTAGTCTCTTAATTCTCCTGTCTGTCTTCAATTGTCTTGAATGAAGCCCAACTTCTCTCTTGCAAGGCACAACATATAGATATATATTTTGGTTTGCAAAAAGTGGATATGGCTGAGAGTTAGGCAGGTGATTTGCATAATTTAAAGTTGTATTTAAGTATATCATAGACATATGGAAAGTAGCCTGTTTACTTTCTATGCAATGGAACTTGGATTATTTGCAGAAAGAGATTTATTTGTTGGATGTCACTGTTATATTTCCTAGTTTAGATGACATCACGGCACAGCACAGATATTGGTCTATGACTAATAGACCCACAGATCAAATATGTGATTACAGAGAAGCTTCTGTAAAGGCAAAGTGGTATAAGTTGGCTAATTACTGCCAAAGAATTTCTCATAGAGAAATCCAATTTCCCCATTATATGCTGGCCTTGCTCACCACAGTGATGCCTACCATTACTTATTAAGGGGTTAAATACAGCAGGACTTCTACCATGATGGTAAAGGACTGAAGCAAAAACTCACTGAAGAATCTGCAGCCAGTTCAGCCCAGCCAGAAGTTTGCTGTGTCTACACCAAGCGTCAGTGGCCTCTTACAGAGGGTTTTACGTGGGCCGTTCAGGCTACCCTACTTGGCCATGCAAGATAACACAGAAAGCCACGATGTATGTTCCTCTCTGAGCAGGCACGGAAGAACAGTGCTGCCAAATACGCTTCAGAGGTGCTCCAGAGCTCTTCTGTCTGGCTGCTCTGTACATTTCTTGGCCCAGCTGGTATCTGCCAGTCTCATGACCAGCTGCAGGGCAAAGGTAATTGCAGCTGTCAAGAATGGTTATGCAAGTTTTCACTCACTGATGATTTTTTTGTTGCTCAATAGCCTTTCATCTTCCTTCAGGCTTTCTGTATTTTGTATTAACTGCATCTCAAAAGCAACAAGGATGGTGATGCATGCTTATGTATTACAGGCTGATTCGTCTAACATTGTGTTTCTTTGGTGATTTTATTTCTTTATTCCAAATGCATTTGAAATTATAGCAAAAGGAGTATCACAATTCTTTTCCAGAGCGATGAATACAGTATTCTAATCTCACAAGCAAGCATGGGCTGGATGCTTTTGTTGCTAGATGCTTTTGTTGCTACACCTCTTTCGGGATCACACTATACAAACAATTTACCTGGTTTAGAGCTATGGCACCCAGGCTATTTTTTAAGAAAAATGTAGGCAACGGTTCAGGCCAATAAGGAAAGCCCAAGTCTAGTAAGTGTACACATGATCTAAAAAAATAATGCTATCTGAGCAACCGCTGCTGTTCTCTCAAAACAAGTGGCCCTCATACATTGTTACCTTGATTCAACAAGAACAGTGTTAAAATTTATCCTAAAGGCAGGACAGGAAACAAAATGAATGTAGAAGTACTGGGTTGTTTCCTATGCTCTCTGAACAATATATCATGATTTAAACAAGATTAAAGTATAATGTGAAGGACAGAAGTTCTTCGAGCAGCTCAGTGATGGTTCACAAACAGGAAATCCTTACTCGAGGCAAACCAACAGCAGATATTTTTAAAGCAGAGTCTCTCCAAATGCTCAGAACTCATTCCATGCCCAGGTGAGTACACCCAGCTGTGCTTCAACCCGCCCCTGTGCTGTCTCCCATGTGGTAGCCAGAATCCAAGATGGTCCAAACCAGCAGAAACTTCAGGCACATGACATGTCCTGAAGGCCTTACTGAACTTGGGCTGCTACTTGATGGGATTCCATGTGAAGTCCACCCATGTCAAAAGGTGGTTTGGATCAAACATTCAATGCTTTTGTTTTTCAAAACCGATCAAGGTAATGAGCCTCCTTTGGTGTGGGGTTTTTTTTGGTTGTTTTTTTTTTTAATGAAACATGCAAGGGCCTTTGTGGCTGAAAGGCAAACCATGCTGATGACAGAGGACCAAAAGCTGGTATATTCTGGCATCTTTCTGATATTGAATGATACAGCCCTCATACACTCCCAGAACTGATAAACTAATGGGGAAAAAGAGGCAGTAGTGTGAACATCCAAAATGCTGAAGACTGGAAAATCCTCAGGGGAAACAAGACGACACTTGTCTGTTCAGAAGCAAGCATGTTTATATAATCTACTAGAAGTTTTTGTATGATGGATCAATCTAACAGACAGGAATTCCTGGAATATGTCAAGCTATGCAAACACAGAATGACTGCTTTACATTAGCACCTGACCCAGAGAACTTTGCAAAGACCTGCAGACCATGATTTGTGGTGGAAGTCAGCCTCACAAGGAATGTCCTCACAGAACCATGATTGTGTCACAGACTCTAGATTAAGTTTCAAATATGAAGCTGACCCTCTGCTCAGCCCTCCTCTCTCTTAACATCAATCCATAAAATCAGTCCATAAAAGGAACGGAGAGAGAAATTCAGGAGAGCAGAGGTGATTACATGTGATCAGCCTGGCATTACCTGGGCTGCTGCACAAAACACCACTCAAAGCCTCTATCTAAGGACATTTACTTGCACTTGGCTATGTACATCTTATCCCTCTGCAGGATTCCAGATAAATTATTTAGCAGATACCATCACAGATGTGGGATTATTAAAATACAGCTGTCCAGGAACTTCCTGCACCAGGAATATATTATTTCTTAGGTAATTCCTTCAAGGTTTTTAACAAGCAAAATAAGTATCTCTACCATACATCATGATGTAGATTACAATGACAGCACTTCTGAGGATACATGAAGTAAATAAGCAAGTCTAAAATATTTTTTCAAAGGCAGATTATAGTGATTTTTTTTAGCCACTGTACAACGCCTCCATTGCCTGCACATACACAGTGACAAGCACCTGCATACAGAAAGGCAGTTGTCCATCAATGTGATGATGCCCATGAGACTTCTGCAAGAATCACAATCATACTTCCACATTTTAGTAGAAAAGCCACCTTGATTTAAGGTAGCAGGTAACTTATTTCCCTAGTATTGGGACGTAATGAAATTCATCCTCATAGAATGGCCCTTGATAAACAGGTTTCCAGTTAAGGCTGAAAGGAAAGGACAATTTCTGAATTCATGAGAATTTTTGAGTTTTGATTAAAAAAAACCCAAAACGGTCTTCTAGACTAAGATAGAAAACTCAAAACACAAACAAAAACCCTACCTTGGAATCTGACAAATAATAAAACCCCATGAAAGTCATAAAACAAATTGCTGAAAAGCTTTTGGACTATGCAAAGGCATTTTATTTAAGTTACATCAAAACATGTTATTCTATTTTGGCCTCCACATTTTTTTAAACCCTTTTCACTCTAATGGAACTTCCATTTTTGAAATAAAAAGCTGTTTTGACTCAGAAACCATGTTTCATTTATTTTGCAAATGCTGGAATTGAATGCCTCAATTCTGAAAATCAGTAATCCTTTTCCTCCCCTCTAGATTGTTGAACTCATTTAAATTAACTTCCCTGTCCCAAACAGCTCCAGCTTTCTAGAAACTTTTATAGTGATGATACTGGGACTACTTGACAATCCATCTGACAAATTCAGGCATGTTTAGGAATGCTTTCTTACTAATTTAAATAGAGATTGTCAAAAATCCATGAACCATAGATGCATACAAGTGTAAATGCTGAGATGCGCAATGTTGAGCACTTATCTGTGAATAAATTGAACACTATTAAGCCGCGGCCAGTCTGAAAATGAAATATGGAATGTCTGTGTATTCTGCAAAAGCTTAGGACACTAACAAATTTAAAGAACCGTTGCTCAAAAGCTATTATTTTCAGGATGCTCATTAATCAAATAGTTTGGGAGCTGGACAGCTTGTGTCTCTGACTAAGACCACATTGTAGACATTTCTGCTTGGCAAAGCTTGGCCATTTATTTTCCTTTGTACTTGATTTTTGAGCATGCTGTCCAGTTTCCAAGCCTAAATTCAGGTTGCATGGATAACGTGATAAATTCCGGTTTTCCTCTTGGTCTGTTACACATCCTTCCATTGGTTCTTTCCTGTCAGGTTTGCATATATGTTTGCCCTTGAGCTCCTGAAAAGTGTAGGAATCACAAAGACCACAGCACTTTTCAAGTACCTTACCTGTCCAGCAAACCAGACAGTGCAGGTTAGGGTTGTAAAGGTACTGTACTTCCTGTAACTGCAGTGAGGTTCTCTCCAGTGACTCTTCCCAGCATAAGGAGTGAATGAAGCTTTCATTAAAAATGCAGAAATAAGCATTTCTGCAAAGTTAAAACAAACTGCGAGCTGTTTCGTACCTATTCAGGTGTCAGCTTGCAATTCTTCTTTAGGAAAGAACACTTCATTATTGACAATACACCTGTCATGGGACTGACACAATTCTAACTTTCTTTTCATTTCAACAGTAAGTTTTGTACTGCGGTGTGTTTTCAGCTCCTTTGAGTTCTGCCTGCTAAGAAATAAGTGTGTGAGGTTCAGCTTTCTTTCCTCCTCTTCACTGTGACCTTTCGCAGCAGTGTCTGAGTCCATATTACCTGCCACCTCTTCACTTTACATCAGACTTCTCAGATACTTCTTGGTGTTGCAAAAAAAAGTGATGGGTTGGAGACACTGCTGTGGAATAACTGGCATGTTCTGCAAGTTTCATGTGTTAGAAACTCCAGAGGGCAACATTGCTCTCAGAGGTTTACTTAGATCAAGGAGCAGGGTGAAGTATTTGTCAGGCCTTGGGGAAAAAGATCATATTGCTGAATATTAGATGAAAGATGTCTAGAGTGATGAGGAATGTTATATATGGCATGTCTTGCTTCCTTCACTCCCACAGATTCCTTATGCCACTAAGAAACTGCTGTTTTTCTGCTAACAGCTAAAGTGTTTCATTTAGAGTTGAAATGAGGGAAAATAAAGTCAGCGTAACTTAGCAGTGTGCACTTGAAATGGAAATTCTGTAGAAAGCATATATAAAAACATGTTTTTAAAGGGGTTCATCCTCAAGAGATTCATGAAGAACCTGCAGAGGTGGATATAAGCATTGTTCTGAAGTGCTAATGTAAAATGGAGGTGTATTTTTTCATGGGGACCAATAGTTGACATAGCAAACATCGCTTTTCCTATAGCATCTAGAAGGATGTGAGGATGATGGAATCTCCCTAAACGGACAGGTAGAAACTGCCCTCCAGCACCCAGCCCAGGCTACTGGCAGGAACTCAAGTCAGTATGAAAACAAGGCATTAGTGAGATGTAACACCACGAAATGAAAACCTTTCTCCCATGTGGTCTAGTGCACCAAGGTAGTCTTGGCAAAAACATTTAGAGCTTATGGCCAACCTTCAGCTGGTCCTTAAACAGTAATTGATCATTACATGGAGACTTGATACCATTGATTCATGCTGCATACTGAGTTACAGGCCTCATTTTTTGACAGCTTGTGACCAAGTATGACATAAATTAGACCTGAGTCCACTGGATCCACTTATTTTGCCTACTGTTTTTATCAGGCTGCTTACCTCTGGTGCTCCCTCACTGTGTTACTGCCATGCATACATTGGTCAGCTTTCATTTAGACTTTTAAGGAAGCTACGTTGTTTTAGTTGTGTGGAGGCTTTCATGGTTACTTAGAAATCCTTGGCAGTGAAGTCATTCCTTCCACAGCTCTAGCAATTTGTCATCTACTGGAAGAAATAAAAGGGCAGCTGCTGGTGTGCAGAGACCAACTTGCTATGAGCAGGCTAGATCACCTCATTAGGATTGAAGACTTGAAAGCAGGCACTCTAAATAAAAATTAAAAGCTGATTTATCCACATCATGGGGCCAGAACTTCGAAGTTCTTATAATGATTCAACCTAAATTTGAAGATGTGAATTATTAGTTATGACACTGCTGTCCTTTAATAAAACAAAAGATATGTATGACTTGTAATACCTTTGACTGAAAGCATCAAAAGAACATTTGAAAAGCATGAGATCTCCATTGTTGCTATGGTGTCTATAGTGTTACCATATTTTTGCAGCAGAGGATAAGAAGTTAGAGGACACAAATTGGGAGCACTTTTTTCTACAGTCTTTGTTACTTTTAAGTATATAATTTTTTTCACTATTCCCTATGCATCTTGGCTATGTTCCACATCAAACACTAATCATCATTGGCTTTAAATTAACTTTAAATTAACTTTATAATAACAGTGTAGACTCAATTACTGAAGGACTTTCAGGTTTCTTGGCCTTGACTTATTAATACCTGACTCTTCACTCTCTTAGAGGATGTATCTTTCAATTCAGAAGTGCAGCCAAAGCCAAGCAGGGACTTGGAAGTGTTGATGCAGTTTATTTTAAGAAGCAGATACTTGTATGAACTGTGTAGAGTATCACAGGGAGAGACTGCACAATAGCACAGACGCCCATTAATTCCTAATCCAGTACCAGTTGGATGTGCCCATGATAGACACCAAGCTAATTATTTGTCCCTATCTGTTGCACAGAAGGACTAGTTCCCCCTGCAATGTGGTTCTCTTCTTCAAAGTTTTATTACATTAGTAAGCTGGTATGTCATTTTGTCTTGTTGTTTTCTGTTTCCATAGTGGAGATTAAAGATGTTCTGGCCCTCACTTGCATCTCCGTTTACTCACACATATGTAATTGGGGACATATTGGGACTTGCTTCGTTTACTCACACATATGTAATCCACATGCAAGTATCCTCATCTTCTTAAGTTTACCCTTACTTTTCTTGAACTTCTCAAAATTTGAAGGTCCAATTCATCCATTTTCTTGCTTTGTGGTTAGTAACATATAGACTCTTCGGGGCAACTCATGCTATTGGGCAAGACCCTACATCCACTCATGAGCTATTAAGTTCAATGCAAGTCTCCGACTTTCTTAAGAGTACTTGTCAGGAAATTTTCCATGCATCAGTTCTGCCAAAGCAGAAGATCAATTGGTGTGGTGATTGTAGGAATATCTGGTTATACAGTCCCCCTGAAATCACTTTCTGGCATGACATGTGTTTTTCAGCTGACACCTGAGATATGTTCTCACAGTCAGGTGAAGAGGCTGTTGCCTGGGACTAACAAAACTGGTATGTTGCCAATATGCTCATGTGATCTGAAGCATCAATGACAGTAGCTGATTATTTTGGCTGAGAAAGAAGCAGTGTTGTGCTGTGAGTTCTACTTTAATGCCATCATCAGCAAACCACTGAAAAGACTTCAGCCAGCACAGTAACATCTTCCTTCCAGCAGTCCTTGGATAAGTAGGTCTCTCTGCAGCTGAAGGAATTGCAAGTTTTTCCTCATGCAATGACGGTCACCTTGCAGATGATGGAACAACCAGCCCCTGGCACACCACCAGGCTGGTACCTTTGTTTAGGACAATCACAATAGTACATGGCATTGTCAGTGATGGCAGGACTGGGTTTGAAAGATCAATCTGTTGTGATGTATAGTCCAGCTCATCCAGTCAACATTGCTATACAGCCATGGGTAGAGATGCACATATTGGTGGCAAAGGGATGGACATTTGAGGAGTAGCTATTGTGTTTCACTAGCGTGTCTGGAGGTAGAGGCTGCTCAGTATGTTTATTCTCCAAAACACTCCCCCTTACACAGCAGGGATCGTTGTCAGCTGCTGCAGTTGGAACAGATACACAACAGACACCGATGTTCTGTGTGCATTTACAACATTAAAATCTGTATCAAAGTTCTGGAAGCTGTCTCTGATTTTGGAAATCATTAACACTGGTGTTACTTTTCAGGAACAGAGCGCTGCAAAACACATTGTCAGGAACAGTCCACCTTTTTATAGCAGTGCTTTTTAGCTTAGAAAGCAACGTTTTAAGACATACGTTGACTTACCTTAGACACCTGTTTGCAAGACATTTATCAAATTTGCTGTACAACACTACTGTTATTCTTATGCAGGTATCAAACCTACAAGCCATCAGGAACACACTGGTACACCTTTTTTCACCTGCTGATTCATGCTTTACAATGCTGAGTGACACACGATCTCTCTCTGCACAGAACTGTCCTCACCTGGCCAGTGTTCACCTCCCTATCGCAGCCATAGCACACAACCCAGAGCAGAGGACATGAGGATACTGGATGAAGTCTGCATGATCAGAAGTCCAATGCTGCTCCTTTCCAGATTGAATCTGAGTTGCAGAATCCTCAGCTAGCTTTTGGTTATTTATTTGTGCAGAACTACTCTTCTGCCCACACTACCTCTGAGTGTGCAACGCAGGATTTGAACTTCTGTCTATCTTCTTGGCCCTTTCTCTGTTGAGTGCTTCTTCTTTTACTCCACTGTCTTCACTCCAGCCCTGCCAGACTGTGTATGTATGCTCACAATTGCACCACTACTGTGACCACTCTCATTTTGCTTTGTTTATAAATACCACTTCTCTCTAGCATGGATACATGCTCTTTTACTTCTCTTCCTGGTATTGCAGATGTCCACTGTGACACAGAAATTTGCCACAGAACAAAACTCTTCCAAGGTCTTTATTTTCAGGAAGATGTTCAATCTCTTCATCATTAAGCATGGACACTAGGCTGCTCACTGAACCACATCTACCAAAAATGGATTCTGTCAAATCAGGGCTTGCAAAGCTTCAAAACATGCTTGTCAAGTACTGTTAAAAAAATTGTTCTCTTGCTAGACTAGCATTCGTTAACAAAGTTTTGCCAATATGATGAAATATTTTGGGTGCAACGCAACTATTTTAAGTCTAACCTTGATTTCTGGTTTCAGTGAGGTAGCACTGGGTGAGAATGCCAGATGAAAGAAAACAAGCAGTAGGATCTGCTCCCCTTAGCCTCAGCCCTGCACTGAACAATTTCTCCCTTATTTTGTGCCTCATAAACCATAAAATAGCAAATGTCATTTATGTACCTACTTTGTATTCTGGGGGTATCCTTGCTCCAAATCCAAAGGCTGGGAACATTTTGTCACTGGAAAAGAACAACAACAAAAAAAAGAGTTCCCACAGAGAAATGCATTTGGTTACAATAAACATTTCTTCTTCTGTTAAGTGTTCATCAAAAATGCGAAGCAGCACAACAGTACAGAAATGGCTTTTACGTCAAAAGTGTTACATGGCAGACTGGAAGGGTATCAGATTAGAGAAGACGGGGTGTGTGCTGACCAGATGGGGGAGTGATATGGGAGATTTTTCAGGCGAACTCCTGAAAAATTTCCGTTTTGGGAAGTTAGAATCATTTGGCGAATACCAAGGGATCAAGACACCTGGCGCTTCTCCTACAAATGCAATAACAGGTCTGTATTACCCACTTGTTTGCTCTACCTGGCTGCAGCATGAGAGTGGGTTGTCTTAACAGCCTGTAACAACACTGATTTCGTATAAATAAGATGGGCTTCCCCAGCTTAGAAAATGGGTGTAGTGAAGAGATGACTCTGTCATGAAAAGCGTTTGCAAATTTGGGTTCTTACAGTTGTTCACGTGCAAAAGAGACTTCCTAAAATATCTGAAAGGGGCAATTTCATGCCTCCAAACCTGCAGGCTCTGTCAAGTTTTCCACCTGCATCTTTAGTAGTTCCACTAAAACATGAGAGTATTTTAATCAGCATAGGTTGACTGATAACCTAGCAAATACTGTGGCATGGTCATTTTGCTTTCAAACACTACAGTGAGGTTGTTCTACCCTAGTTAGATCTGTAGAGACAAATATTCCTGATTCAGAGGACCTGGAAACTTCCAGGCTGTTAATACCCTTTCAGAAATGCAATAATGTCTCACACAGCCCACGTGCTGTCAAGCTGCTTCTTCCCAGATGGCAAAGTGGAAAACAACAAGCTGTAAGGAATGTCTCGTCCCTGAGTCAGCAAAGCACTTGAACACACACTCCAGGTTAACAATTCACCCAAACATATGCTTAACTCTAAACACATCCTGAAGCCCCGCTGAAGTCACTGAACCGTACTCCAGTGCTCTGATGAATCAAATCCCTCACAGGTTTGTCCCATTCTGCTTACAGGGTTTCAGGGCCCTTGGAAAAGTTGAGTTCCTACTACCATTATTGGCACTTTCAAAAATTCCCAAGAGAAGCCAGCAGCTTCAATTTTCTTTGTGTAGTTCAAGACATTGCCACTCCAAGTATCAACTGAATAATTCACTTCTCACACATACTCAAGAAAGATAATATCACCCATTAAACCTGCTGGGCTATTCTGTCTGGCATAGGCTGTGAAAGGCCCTGTGATATTTCTGATACAAACTAAAGAAAAATGGAAGGGTTTAAAAGAAAGCAGAAATAAGTGCCCTCCTCCCCGAAGTTAAAGTAACCATGAGATACAGAAATATTCACCAGCTCATTGGGAAACAGTGATGACTGTCATCTGACGGTCTAGCTCTCACGATTGTTGTTCTGCTATGAAATGTAGTTGCCGCATAAATCTTGGGAGCACAATTCTGTGTACCATATGTTACACTGTGTGACAATGGATGTTGGAAAGGAACACTAACATCATTTGCATGGTAATGAAACATTTTTTCAAAGAGATGTCAGAAATGAAGTAGCTGCTGACATTTGATGCTAACCATCTGCTGATAGCCTTCTCTTTGATTAAACACTCCTGGAAGCAGGGAAGCCCTTATAAGTAGATGCAGAGAATTCAGGCACACACTTAGAGGGCAAGAAATACAAAGCTATTAGAAAAGAATCTGAGGGGAGAAAAAGTCTTGTTTTACATCAATGATTAAGCTTGGTTAGATTAGAAAATCAAATCCTGTGGAGCTGCAAGTTATTCGATTGTGGGCAAGAACGAACGAAGACTAAAAAAGAATTTTACTTAGGTAGAACATAAGTGTCTAAGTTCAATAAAGCCATCAAAAAATCTGATGTTTCCAACAATTACCCATCCTGGGAGATCCTTAGACATACAGTGCCTGCGTTTGCACTGCAATGTTTCTCGAGTGTAAACGAGTGTGGGCACTCTTGTATCTGCAGCTCCATCTTCTGCTCTGCAGCAATTCAGAGACATCACTAAGTGATACCTCCAGCAGCCTGGATTCTTCTTCTGGTGGCAAGACTCCCACATTCCCAGTCACACAGTGGCACAGCTCCCACTGTTCTTCTGCACTCAGAATACCTTACCACCACAGTCAGGACACCTGCCTTTATGTCTCAATCTTCTATGTCTCCTTTTTGAGCAAGTGCTAGCTACTGTTACCATTGTCTTGTGAAAGAGTAAAAGCTTGATCACGCGCACCCTCAAGACAGGATTCCATGTGGGTGCTTTTTAGAGGGAAGTGCATGAACTCTACAGAGGAGGGGTATCCTGGGGTCTACACCTGTGTTTAGTACTTTCTCTTGCCTCACTCAGAATAGCTCCCCACTCTCCTTAGGAAGCTCCTAATTTTCCAGAATTTAGGTACATACCTTTGATATTCTGATTTAAGCTGCTAGGACCAAGGAATTAACATACGTGTGCTCCTGGAGTTTCATCTTTAAGGTAAGAAGAGAACCTTTTGATTATCACTTATGGCATCCCTTGCATAAAAAAGATAATCATGTTATTCCCTGACCACACTTCAAAATTTGTGGCTGACAGCTTTCAGAATTAAATAAAATTTTAACGTAAGCAGTCCTTTTCATCCTATCACACAAAACAAGGTGTTTGGCTAATATAAAGGTCTCGCTCTTTAGTAAGTATGGAGTTTAATGGCTTAGTGGTATTTTACAAAGTGACCCTCTCTAGTCTTCCCATCCATCCCTCGTCATATGAGAAAAAGCTCAGCAGCTGAGCCTGCTGTCCTCATTCTGCTTATCCTGCACTACTGAGACACAGCAACAAAAAAGTGACGCAGAAGGGCAGCCAAGGATTCTCTCACTTCGAGGACAATCCCTTATGGTATAGAGGTGTGACCGAGCTGCTCTATCAGACCCAGGGCTATCACAGCAGCATGCAGCAGAAAGCAGAGCAGCTTTCCAGCTTCTTGAAGCTATGTCAAGTGTTAGGCCATCCAGAGACTGAAATTATGGACAGAAAATGAAAATAAGTTTTCCTCCTGCCTCAGGGGTGAATTGTATGCATCAGAGACTCCAGCCCTGTTTCCTAACCTGGCATTCCAGCAGGAAAGGCATCTGCTCTAATGACTTTTCTTCCTTTGTAATTTAAACTTATTCAAAAGAAGAAGAGTGAGAAAGTTTTATTTTCCTTTGTGCCCTTTGTGCAGGCATTTCAGTTTCATTTATACCAGGAAATAGGACTGAGACCCTGGCTGAAGCACTGGAGTGCCAATAGACATGGTCTGCTAGCACCCTCCCTGGCATAGTGCTGGCTCCTGTCAACCAGCAGCCCCCAGAGACTTCCCAGGGACAGTACTGGGCACAGATGTGCTTGAAACTGCTCCCAAATGGCAGTTTGGGTATCATCAGTTTGTGCTGGGAGGAAGAAAGCTGAGATACAAGGACATGGGCAGTGTCACGTCCTTGGCCTCAGGCCACATCAGGATCTTTGACTTGTTTTGTTCAAATCTAGCCAGAGAGTCCTTAGCATATGTGAGGAAACTGCCTGCACTGTCCTCCTGGAGACAGATTGCTGAAGAGACAGAAGAGAAACACATAACTGGAAAAACAAGCTGGTTCTATAAAACTTGAATTTTACAAAATCAAGTAAGAAAAAGAGGATTGTGGCTTGGCAGAATCTTTACAAAATTACTCCATCACGTCTACTTCACATCTTATATTGTTCTTTGGTTTACATAGGTTCCCTGGAAAATTAAAAATTGGCACAATTTTCAAAAAGCTGAAGTACTTGAAATGAAGATCAAAAAAGCAAAAGCATCAGACTTTGATTTTTATACCTGGTTATATACAGGCCATAGATGTACATGGCTTCTGGTACTTTTTCCAGTCAAACGGGCAGATATTACTGAAAAATACCAAAGACTGAGCAGATCTAGGTTATACCCTAAAAGTAAAATCAAGGAGATGGCTCAGGTTCAGTGTTCATATTGGTAAATGTAGATTAATGCACACAGAAAGGAATTGTCAGAACTCCAAGACTGCAATCTTCCAAACAGAAATACAACCAGTTAAAGTCCCTCAGTAACACCTCAGCTATAACATAACGCACGGCAGAAAATAAATTCTGAAAATATCTCATATTATCCTTTCGGAACATTGCTCAGGTTTAGTCACCCACCCTTCAAGCTATCTAGTGGAAACAGAGGAAGCGCAATGACAAATCAATACATTGATAGGGAGAGAGAGGAGAGAGATTTCAGCGAGCTGTACTGCACAGGCAGGAGACAAGATGAATAGAGGAAATAGTAAGGTTTTGTAAATCAGTAAGTAACACAGATAATGATACCTTTTTCTGTTTCACTAGAAAGCCTAGTGTTACTGGAAGCTAAGACATATATTTAAAATAAAGATAAGGAGATAAAATAACGAACATTTCAAAATCTTGTCTCATTAACCAGTGGTGCCCTCTGACATGTAGTATCACTGAAGCCTGGAGTTCAGCTTTACTCTGAGAAGGATTTGCTATTCCTAGGAGGAGAATTCAGACAAAAATGTTCCACCAGGTGAAATTAATTATTCATACATTAGAAAGTCTTTTGCAACTTCCTCTGAAGCTACTGGCAGAGACAATGCTAGAGATAGAGCTAGATTTTCACCCGTGTGGCATACCTGTATTCAGAAAGGAAAACATGAGCTGCCAGGACTATGTTCTCTGAAAATTAGTTCCTTTATAAAATCTAAATTAGGAATCTTAGTTCTTAAGTGTATGGAGTAACTGTAGGGGAAAAAAGGTCTAAGTCATTCCATATGCCATTTATTCCTTCTGAAAGATGAACTTCTAGCTGACCACTTACACAGGTTGTTTGAGACTCATTTTACTGGTGCTCATGAAAGCCCTTTGGTATGAGATGTGCTTACCTTTAAGCTTCTGAAGTCAATGCAGCAGTTTGTATGGATCCTAC